TTACTACGCTCTTCGGTTGCCACAAGGGTTTGTACATAATACACATGTGTGTGTGTGAGCATATTTATCCTTGCGCTAAGTCCTAAGTTTTTGACTGCTTCGCAACGGTCGTGGGTATTGTGCGAAATACCGACCCCACACCTCCTGCGGTCTGTAGCGGGGTGTAGGAGGTATCCGGAACGTAGTAACTATAAACGTTGGGTAATACTTAGAGGATCAATCAAATGAGAATATGCTAAGTGGAAAGCCGAAAGCGAAGGCACCAATGAGGGTCAACACAAAAGCTTGGGGAGCGAACTGGCTTGGAATACCCGCAGCTAATAATTAGAGGAAAGTACTATAACGCCTGCCGACACGGCGGCAACGCCCGTAGTCAAAGCAATTGACAGTACAGGGGAGCTCCTCTGGTGATCGCAAGTCAGGTCAGTGTTTCTTTGTGCAGATAATTAAAGAGTTATTAATGATTGTGCTGTCCCTGACATGGGCCGACCTGGCAGGTTTACCAAATCGTGACTTTGAAATTACTTGCCAACACTATGCCCATTATTTTGGCCCCTGTCCTATAGGCCGAGGCCAAAGCCCCTTGATCGACCCCTGTTGGCAACATTTAACAACTTTTCCCTATTTGGGACGATGGAGAATTTCCCGTTCTCCTCAAATTATAGGGTTGCCCCTCATTCAGCCGTATTGGCCGCAATCAATTTCCATATATGAACATCGGATGCCCAACGCTTAAGGGTGGCACCTCTGAAACCTAATTTGCCCCGGCTTCGGAGCTGCTACTGCTTCAGTAGGCGGCAGTAGCGGCAGCTTTAGTGGTAGACGCGACACCAACGGCGGCGGCACCTTGATTATTGTCGAGATGTTGCGGCAGCACGCGCCCGCGCTGGTGGAAGCTGCAGCTGGCGTCTTGACGGGCAGCAGCCCGAGCGCGGCTATGCAATGCTTTGCCATAAATACCGCAGTTTAAAATCACTAAGCACGGGGCGAAAGGACAGGCTTACCAAACAGTTTTTTGGGTTTCTGGAGCAACGGTTTTGTATAGGTAGTTAGGCTCCGGCGGACTTGCGCAGCATTGGATTTTGCGTCCTTGCCTACTTGCCTTTTTTGATTGAAAATCTTATTTTAGGCGTAGCCGAAAATGTGGTTTGAAGAGGGGCGTCAGAGCGGCGTCGTACGGTGCGGTTAGTTTGTTGTTATTTTGAACTGCTGTTTGCTCGGTGGTGTTTCGTCTTGTCGAATTATCTTCCGGGTGATCTCGGACTCGGCTGCTGGTTGATACGAGCTCTCTTTACCAGAACAGCTGCTAGCTGCCGCTGTTATTGTCCGTTGGTCAGCGGTGTGGTTTTGACGACCTTTCTTTAGATAGTTAATCGGCTACCAAATTATCAAGGGCTTGGCACACAAGGGTTTATCTTTTGAACTCACAAGTCGCTAGTTCCCGCATAGCAAAGCTGCTTGGCGCCTGCAAAGAAACATGGCGCAACAGTTGATGAGGACAGCAGCCCAGCAAACAAACAAACAGCTAGCAGGAGATGTTTGGGGACAGGAACCCCCATGGACCATTGTCATCACGGCCAGAGGACAGCAAAAGCAAGCAAACAGGTGGCGCAGCACTACAAGACAGCATCCGAGGCGCAGCAGACCCAGAAGCAGCTCAACGACATGTCACAGCTACTGCCCTACAAGGAGGTCATCCGCCTGGCAAGGGAGGGGGACCCGCATAAGACCTCCCTCGTCGCCTGCCTCGCTTCTCTCTCCTCCGAGCAGCGAGCGTACCTGGGCGCGGCGCTTACAGGACAGACTAAGTCGGCCAGCCGGTCCGGATGCAAGCGGTCCTTCGCCGCCACGTTGGCCCCCGGGGGGGGCCCCCCCCGAGAGGGCCCCGAGGACGTCACGTGCCTAATCTGCAACCAGCGGGGCCACCGCTTTCAAAACTGCCCACAACTCCAGGCCATACCCCGGGACCAGCAGCAGGCAGCGGTCGACAGGGCTCGGGCGCGCTTGCGGGCGGGCGCCCGTGGGGCACCGGCTTCAGCATAGGTCGCGGAGGCGCCGGCCGCCGCTTGCCCCCTCCCTGGAACGCCACCGGAGCGGCCGGGGTCTGGGGGCATACCCATCAAGGCGGCCGGCGCCCAACAACAAGCGGACGTCGCTGCCCAACGTGAGTTCCATAAGGGGCAACTTGTGCACCCCGTCCCCGTTGGGCCTTGCTTGCGTGTCGTGAAGAGGCCGAGTTATAGTGCGGCGTGCCTTGCTTAGTGCGCCTGTCAGTGTTTTGGGGAGGGACTGCTCCGCGTTGCCCTGTGTTGGGTCGTACCTGCCTTGTTCGCGAGCCGGCGTTGGAGCTGCCCTCCCCGTCGGGCGATAGACGGGGCGCGCACCGCGATATCGGCCCCCTCCTCGGGGATAAGGAGGCGTCGTGCTGACGTTTAGCCCAGTTGGAGGGCCCCCACACGCTGCGGGTTAGAGCTGCCCTCCCCGTCGGGCGATAGACGGGGCGCGCACCGCGATATCGGCCCCCTCCTCGGGGATAAGGAGGCGTCGTGCTGACGTTTAGCCCAGTTGGAGGGCCCCCACACGCTGCGGGTTAGAGCTGCCCTCCCCGTCGGGCGATAGACGGGGCGCGCACCGCGATATCGGCCCCCTCCTCGGGGATAAGGAGGCATCTTGGTGGCGTTTGTGTTTTGGCCAATCTAGACTTGGTGAGGGGGGAATTCTTGAGGGAGGAATCGCCCCAGGCGCCTACCCCGGCGGTTGGTACCGCTGCACCACTTGCTTGCTTGCGGTGGCGGGGATCGGATCAGTGGCCCTTGGGAGTGTTACGGAGGAACTGGCACAGCTGGCTGTGGCGTTACACGGCAGCGCGGTCGCAGACAGCTCATCGGTCACCTACGAGTCGAGGCGGCGACGGTGCAGGGCAAATGCGGAGCCGCGGAGGGCGACGGAGTTCACCCAGGACGCCTGCTGGCTGGTGTTGGGGTTTTTCGGGATGCTCCGGAGGAGCGAGTTGGCGGCCCTGACAGTGGGCTGCGTTGAGGAGTTGCCGGGAGGGGGTGTGGGGCTGCAGATCGTACGTAGCAAGACGGACCAGAAGGGAGCGGGGACGTTGGTGTGCCTGGCAGCACTCACCCAGAGCGGCATCCCAATTGCTCGCATAGTACAGCGGCACCTGGAGTGCGTGCGGACGGCCGAGGGTCACTCCCCGCTCTTCGTACGGGGAATCACTGGGCCGGGTAAGCAGGGCACGGTGTGGCGGCGTGGGATTTCACTAGTAGGCTGCATGTGTTGCTGGGTGAGTTGCAGGGGTACGAGCCGGAGTTGAAGCTAGATCTCGCTAGGATATCGGCCCACAGCTTGCGCAAGGGCGGGGCCACCGCGGCTGCCAATGCTGGGGTGGGTCTGGAGGAGATTAAGGCGCACGGGCGGTGGAGGTCTGATGCGGTGCTGGTCTATATCCGCCGGTCCGTTGCGGTGAGGCGGACAGTGGTGGAGCGAATGTGACGCGACTGGGTGAGGGGGGATGTTTCGCTGGGTTAGGCGTGGGGCCAAAGTAACCCAAGCGAGGCCGTCGGCTGCCTGCTGGTTACCAATGCGGAAGAGCACGGTAGCCCGGAAGGGCCGCACGAAGTAGCATGCGGGCTCTGGCAGGCAGGCTGGGCGTCTCTTCTCCCCAACCATATGTCCACGTCCCCGGTGCCTTGTTCGTATTAGTTGTACTGTAACGAACGCGTTTTGGGTTTCTCGTCCCGGTTCTTGGTCTGGCTAGCTGCTCAGCCCGGATTCAAAATCTTATTTTAGGCGTAGCCGAAAATGTGGTTTGAAGAGGGGCGTCAGAGCGGCGTCGTACGGTGCGGTTAGTTTGTTGTTATTTTGAACTGCTGTTTGCTCGGTGGTGTTTCGTCTTGTCGAATTATCTTCCGGGTGATCTCGGACTCGGCTGCTGGTTGATACGAGCTCTCTTTACCAGAACAGCTGCTAGCTGCCGCTGTTATTGTCCGTTGGTCAGCGGTGTGGTTTTGACGACCTTTCTTTCCCACCCGCCCACCCTTTCGAACTTTGGTTTCCGGGCTTGTGAGAGGCCAGCTTTTAGTTTAGAGGCACGGGGGATGTTTCGCTGGGTTAGGCGTGGGGCCAAAGTAACCCAAGCGAGGCCGTCGGCTGCCTGCTGGTTACCAATGCGGAAGAGCACGGTAGCCCGGAAGGGCCGCACGAAGTAGCATGCGGGCTCTGGCAGGCAGGCTGGGCGTCTCTTCTCCCCAACCATATGTCCACGTCCCCGGTGCCTTGTTCGTATTAGTTGTACTGTAACGAACGCGTTTTGGGTTTCTCGTCCCGGTTCTTGGTCTGGCTAGCTGCTCAGCCCGGATTCAAAACATGAATCTTCCTAAGGAAGGTCATGGCTGGGTTGATTTAACGGTTGACCTTGTCGAGCGTGTTGTTAGCTTCCTGGATCCAAACGAGGTGGAATGTACCGTCAAGGAAATCAATAAGGCCATGGCAAGCCAGTTTCGGGAAAAAGTATAGCTATCCAGTTGTGGCAGCCCGTCCCCCATCACGCGTTTGCCAGGCACTGGAGCCGCCCGGAGGCAGTTCACAACTTCGCAAGGAGTAAGCGACGGAGGCTCCTTGTCCTGACGGCCTTCAGCGGCAGCCTGGCCAACCTCCAGGTCGCCATCAAGGCAGCGGGCTGCATGCTCTTGTCGGAGGTCTTCTCAGCAGCAGCCGAGGGCGGCCATCTTAAGATGTGTCAATGGTTGCAGGAACAACGTCGTTTCGTTTACTCGTTCACAAGCAGCTGCCCGCAGTGGCAATCCCTTGAAGATCAAATGGGTGCTGCAACAAGAGCGTGATCCTGAAACGCAGCAGAGAGCTGGTTCCGAAGCCTTTGAAGCAGCCTGCTATGGTGGTCATCTGGCTGTGTGTGCAGGGCTCCTGGAGGACGGTGTTCAGAGGGACCCCGGGATGTGTCTTGCTGCCGCCGCCCGCGGTGGCCATGTGGGCCTCACACACTGGCTCCTACAGCAGTTTGGGCCGGCTGGAGGGCCAGGGTTAATATTCCGAACGCCGTACAGGTACGACGTCATCGACGGGGCTGCACACAGGTTCGACCTGGCGACGTTGCAGCAGCTGCACCAGACCCTCCTGCAGCTCGACGGTGCCAGCAGCCGACTAACCCGCTACACCCTTGCGGGGGCCCTGTGAGCCCGACCCCCGACTGGTGGGCCAAGGTAGGGTGGCTGCAGGCTCAAGGCTGCCGCCTCCGTGGCGTTGGGTACTTACTTAACTTGGAGGCCCTTGCAAGCCGTTCAGACGCTATGGAGCAGGTACAGTTGCTGCTCCCGGCGTTTGAGGAAGAAAATCCCGTACCATACATCCTCAGGGCTGCCAAAGAATTCCAAAATTGATGATACAACTATAATATTGAGATTTACAATTAAGTGCTACCAACCTGTCCCTGGTGCGCTACCTGCTAGCGGGGAGAGACTGGCTACCAAAACACACGAACCACGCAATGGTGAAAGCAGCCAGTGTCGGCAACCAGGCGCTGCTGTTTGAGCAGGTGACCTTGGGCTGGCGGCTTGATGAGCGAGTTGCATTGGCCGCTGTGGTGCGTGGTCACCTGCACAACCTTAAATGGATGGAGGGGGCGGAGGCCGCTCGCGCTGGTGGTCGAGAGTTTGTCCTTGATGCCATGCAGTGGGGCGGGCATGTGTTGGAGAAGGTAATATTGTCTGGCAGTGTGGAGATCATGGAATGGCAGCTACATGAGCGAGGCTTAACCTGGATCGGAGAGGAGATGTTTAATGCAGCAGCGGAGGCAGGCAGTCCAGCATTTTTGGAGTGGCTTGTGACCCGGGGCTTCACCGCGGGGGTGAGTGGCTTGCTTGCGTATGTTGGTTTGCATGTTCTTGTTGGGTGCGGTTGGTTCTGCTCGGCTCCTCTTCTCATCACCAAATGTATGTACGGCACCGTCTGGTGTCTGCTGACCTCTCAGCTGATTGCGATGTGAAGACATCTCACTCTTGGCTTTCATCCGCTCTTTTGCATCATTTCTGCTGCTGAACTCTTGACTGGACGATGAAGGACCTGTTGTTACTCAGCCTCCAATTGACTGTCTGCTGATCTGCATCTCGCTAGTCGAGATGCAGTAACGGTCGTACAGTCTGGCGCACACAGTCAATAAATGCACGTGCTGAATTGCATTGCCAGCATCTCGAGAGGCCTTTTCAGCAGCCATCTATTACGGCTGTTTTTTCTCGGTGACCAGCTTCACTGCTGTTCGCTCGTTGCTATGTTGCAGGACAATTATAAGCCTTACGTTGCGGCAGCAGGCTATCACGAAATCCCTAACACTCTGCGTTGCCTGAGGCGGCTGGGCTGCCCCTGGGGTCCCGACGTCTTCAGCCGAGCGGTGTATCGACAAGAACAGCGGCAGTACCCTGGAAATCCTTCAGTGGCTGCACGCTGAGGGCTGGGCTGCCCGGTGGACTGGGAGGAGGCCAGGAGCCGGGCCAAGACCCGAAGATTTCAGTGTGGTTGGAATGCAGAAGATGTCGCTATTCATGGCTGGATTGAGAGCACAGCGCCGAAATAGTTGTCGGGACGAGCCAGCGGGGTCTACAACAGTTCTAGACGTGCGTATTAAGCAAATTATGTTTCTGTGAGGGAGGAGACGGAAAGTGAAGACGGCAGGGATCTGTGAGGGGATGAAGGGGGAGGGGGTGACCGGGGGGGGGACGGGGAGGGGGTGAAATGATACATGGCTGATTGGAGTGGATTGGAGTGGCGGTGCAGTGGAAGGAATCATAATACACCAATTCGCGAGGGGCACAGCAGAGCCCTGTGAATGCAGCTCTCGTTTATGTTGCGGGGCTACTTACCAGCTTGATGGCTGCAGCAATGGGCAGGGCGGCAGGGATGGCGGCGTGGTAGGACGTTAGGATGTTAGCAGATGTGCAGTTGGTTGTGGGAAGCACACAGAAGGATATTTGGCGGGCCGGAGATGCAGGGACGACTGGACGAGCCATGCAAGCATCCGTACATCTCTGGATCTACATTCCCGAGGGAAGGTGGAGGTCCTGATGGGTTACCGACTGACGCCGACGGGCGGATCGCCTGGGGGAACCATGGGGTGGGTTGTGGGCAGTGAGGACCCAGATCACGGCTGGGAGGGGGCAGTCAATCATGGGCTCAGCAGGAGATCCCAGAAGAATCATCCAGCCATCCCGTGCAATGGCACGTATGTGCTTAACCTAGTTTGTGGCTCCTAGGAGTCTCTGGTAGCTCGTAAAGGCACGCGTTACACACCTCTCTATCTGGGTCATTGTGCAGTTGGTGCCGCTGGTGCGGTTTGATGATCACTGCCGCCACGGCCCTGGAGCCGCTGCAGGCCGTACCCCGAGCAACAGCAGGGGCGGCCGAGCCGTCGCAGCTGCCACTGTACTCTCCTGAGTCGATTGGCACTACTGCCGACGGCGGCAAGGAGCTAATTTCTCAACGCCTTCCTCACTTTCATGCCGGCTTCCAGTGCTGGTGCCGCCTCCAACACCGGCGGTAGCAGCAGTAACACAGCATCAATTGCCAACCCCGAATAGAAGCAATGGCAGCCTCATCTCCTCCACAGCCATTCCATGCTACCCGGCTACCTACGCTGACCCAGGCCCCGACGCCCCTGGCGATCAGTTATCCACACCGGCATTCACTGACGTCAGCGGTGGCGAAGCGGTACCAGCGATGGCGGCGTCTTCACCTCCGCTGGTCGTCTTTCACCTCTGGGGTAGTCTGCCGTACGCACATGATTTGTCGATGCTACCAGTCGCGACAGCATACGTACGGCAGAATGGCCCCGGTCAAGATGGCCGATTGCATGCAGCTACTGCGGCCGTGGACACAGCGTCCAGGGCTGCTAGCGTAGTAGAACAGAATGTTCACTGAGCATGCCATCGAGCTTATATGAGCAGTAGAGACATGGCGAAACATGGGATTTCGATTATCCAGTTCCGCCTTGAATCGTAGGTGGGCAATTGTCTGGAGCGCGACAATTTCGCGAATTCCCTTTTTCCCTTCCCATCTCACTTTTGAATTTGTTTGTTGTGCGGTGCCGAGAATCCCCCCAATACCTTCTACAGGTCACAATGACGCTGTCCGGGCCAGGCACGTGATAATCTTCTTCAGGGCTTCGGTCAAGGTAGGTCCATGTGAAAGAGCATAGATGAAACTCGGCTGGGCCGGACTGAGGGCGTATTTACTTTGCCCGTGCAAAACTGCTTGTTTTGAGGGTTCGGTAAAATCTTCAATGAACCGAAAGCTTACCTGAGAGGTGTCAAGCAAAAAGCGGCGCTGCGAAATGCCCTTCAAAGGTGAACATCAAAATAGTGAAGTGTTACGCAAGCGTTTCCATGTAGCGCACCAAGACGTTACGGACTCTCTCTTACGGTTAACAGTTGCACAGGTCAAGGTCAGAACACAGTCCACTTTCGCGCAAGACAGAAACGAAACCGCAGTTCAATGTCGATGTTTAGAAGCCAAGCGTAACAATGGAGGACGCATTCCTGTGCGGCAAGCACGCACTGATGCTCCTGCAAGCAAAATTGGTCGAGCTTCGTTCAAAAGTAGCAAAAGCCAACGTTTCACAGATTTCAAAGCAGCCGATATTAAGGACAATTTCAGTGTACTGGTCGCACTTACAGCTGGTCCATGCTGCCGTTCGCGTTTTTCTCCTGCAACTCGCTGCCAAACGCGATGACACATCGGCAGCTACCAAGCTACTTGAATCGCTGAATTCCGTTGCCGAGGAAGTGCCCGGGTTAGCAGCTTTGGAAAATGGTGCGTTTGCTAAATCGTTTCACCCTTGAACATTTCACCATCTTACAAGCCAAAGGATTTGTGCTTTATACTTAAGGATTGAATTCATTCGTACAGGTTCACCCGGCGAACTTGCGGCCCACGTACGGCAGCTGCGCGCTGAGAAACTGGAAGCCGAGATCCAGGCGCTGCGAACCGCAGCTATAGCCCTCAAACCCGACATTCCTGTTCAGGCGGATGCGCTGGAGGCTGTGGTGCGGAGCCTGAGCCAACAGGAGCAGGGCTTGGACTTCCATGTTAGGCAGGTTTGGTGCCGTGGGCCTTTCTCGGCCCCTATACCGGGCGGTGCGGATAGCATCCCCCTGCAACAGGAACTGCTGTATGTGGCACGGGCTCCAGGGACGGCCTTTAAGCTAATCAAACTAATCAACATGGAGCTGCAGATCCTACCTTTTCATTTTCTCGTGCGTGCTGCAGGCTAGTCGATGAAATTCGGGAGCGTTTCGGCGGTGGCGCCAACGACTACAGCGCCGATAACTTCTCCTACGGCTCGACGCCGTATACTTCATGGCTAAAGGTGCGAGGCTAAAGGCTAAGGGTCGCGTCTGGGGGTTTGCCTCTGAGGGTGAGGGGCTCTAGTATAAGCAGCATGGGCGGCTGTGTATACCGTGTGTATACATATTGTTGCTGCCACAGCGCCAAGCAACCATCAGCAGCTCCTACGGCGCTACAGAACGTCACACACGCATAAATACATACATACACACACGCATGCAGGCACACGTAACATGTACAGACATACAGACGCACATAAAGCTGTAGCTTACAATGTGAAGGTGATGAGAGCAGCCGGGGGCGCGCTTGAAACCGCAATGCCATCATCGACACTGCCGAACCGTGAGTACGTGGTCTGGGGAAGCTCCTGCGGCTGGCTCGTCCTGTACGGCGCACTGACGTACGGATGGCGCAGCCGTGGCGTTGAGCTGCTGTCACACATGCACAATTGTGCGGAGCGAGTGGCGGCGGAGCAGGCTGCTGCATTGGCGTGTAAGTTGGACGATGGGGGGGTGGCTTCTAGGATTAGGTTTGGGGACGTAGGGGGCCAGGCTGGGCCGAACTCCAGCTTCGGAGATGGGGTTCCGGAGCGCGATGAGACAGAGTGATTTTGACCTCCTGTGTAGAACGTGGTTGCTTCAATGATGCCTGGATGTGGATCGGTGGATAGAAGAACACGGCGGTAGTGGACGATGGATAATAGGTTGATCGGTAACGGGCAGTTAGCACGGTAAGGAGCTTAATTAAGCCATGCATTTGTTGGGGGACATTTGGGGGCTTTCGTTAGGTACGTAGCTGTGTGTTGCTTACCTCGAACTAGTAGGTCTCATGCATTGAGTTGCTTTATTGCCGTACACCCATCTGCCGAGCCCATTGTGGCCCCCTTGTGTAGCCATAAGTCGTTCCACGAAATTACGTACCACCACAGTTTTTCCTCTCCAACACTTTAAACAGGCTTGCATTCCTCTCATGAACGAACTCTCCTTCTGGCTCTGATCAGGTACGGCAGGCGTGCGGTTTACCTGCGGCGACTTGTTGCACGACGATGTATCGGCCGCCGGACTGGTCGTACTGGCGGACCAATGCTGGGACGATCAGCTGGCAGCGGCTTCCGTCGCCAAGCTGGCACGCGAGTTGCCGAAAGGCGCGCTTTGCGTGTCGTACAAGGGAGCGTCGTTCCCTTGCAGCTTCAATGCCGGCAGCGGTGGCGTGGATGGCGCTGGCAGTGGGGATGGCGCTGGCAGTGGGGATGGCGCTGGCAGTGGGGATGGCGCTGGCAGTGGGGATGGCGCTGGCAGTGGGGATGGCGCTGGCAGTGGGGATGGCGCTGGCGACGTAAGACTCGGATGCGTTTTCAAAGAAATTGCAGTAGTATGCGCGCCAGTGAGCTGGAACGAGATGCAAATGTTCCGCGTATTTAAAAAACTGTAGCAAAGGTGGATGCAAGGGCATGCATGTCATGCATGTATGTATGCTGTTGTTGTTAGAGAGTGGGAGGCTTTAAGGGCAATGGGTTGTCATATTTAGGCTTGACTCCATACAGCTGCACTTCGCCATTGCGCATTGCTATGGTTGTTGGTGCATTAGAAATTACAAATAATATTACAATTAAACTAATTAGAATTCTAATGAGAAAGTTAGAAGACCCCTTGAGAACAGATTAGAACGTTCTAATGTCGTACACCCATTAGAATGGCTATTCAGGCCGCCTCCGCAGCCTGCAACGGCACATTTTTGGGCGGGGCCCCAGCGCGAAGCGCCCAGGGGGGCCCCGACCTGTAGGATTGCCCATGTCCGTGTGTGTGTGTGTGTGTGTGTGTGTGTGTGTGTGTGTGTAACGGACCAAACATAATATCTCGCCTGGCTGAAACGCGTTATAGGTACTATACAGCATTCTCTATTGCAAGGTATCTCCCATGTAGCCAACAAAAATCGTATGAGCGCAAACAAGTTTGGCTGCCTCAATTGACCGAGGCCAAAGTCACATCAATGCCTCTCGCGCTAAATTTCATCGCAAAAGGTACCGCGTATCTCATATTTGAGTTCTTAGATGACGGCGTATGATAACTCGAACTCCCAGGCCTTGAGTGTGTAACGGACCAAACATAATATTTCACCCGGCTGAAACGCGTTATCGGTACTATACAGCATTCTCTATTGCAAGGTATCTCGCATGTAGCTAACAAAGACCGTATGAGCACAAACAAGTTTAGCTGCCTCCATTCACCGACCTCAAAAGTCACATCAACGCCTCTCGCGCTAAAATTCATCCCGAAAGCTGCCGCGTATCTCACAATGGAATTCTGAGATGACGGCGTATGATAACTCGAACACCCAGCTTGTGTTACCATTTGCCGGCATGGGCTTGCCACCAGCAGGCCAACATAATTTGCTTTCATTTCTCTATGAAATACACAAGCTGCTTGTTTGTACATTTACTTTGGCCAATGCACGGGGCCTCCTGAGACTTGCGGTGTGCCCCGATGAAGCCCGCGGCTGTGGGGCGGATTGCTGTGGCCGCTGGCGCTTCGGGGATAAACATCACAGACAGCACCGAAATTCACCCAGCTTTCGTTACCATTTGCCCGCACGGGCATTCCGACTTGCGGTCTGCCGCACTGTCCATGCGGCATGCACCCGGAATGCCGGGTGCGGCATGCACCCGGAATGCCGGGTCCATTCCGGGTGCATGCCCGGAATGGATGCGATTCGCGTGGAGCCCGCAGGCGGTGCTGACGATTCCGCCGGTGCAAGCTTAGCTCTCACACCATCAGCACTGCTGCAACAAAGCACATCTCCCACCGCGTTGACACTACCCATCAATTGTCACACTTGCCACCCTTGCTACCGGCCTGTACGGATGCAGAGGGGCCCCGCCCTTTTTCCGGCTTCCTTGAAGCCGACACCCAACTTGTTCTAGGAAAAATGGCTGATGCTGATGCTGGGCCATCAAAACCACCAGTTTCGAAGATTCCTAAAGCAACATACACTTATGGCAACAAGGAGCTAGACGCTCCAGCCTACGCGGAAGCCCTGAAGAGTGCAAAAGCGAGAGGCAGTGCTTCCTGGTGGTCTTTTTTCACCGTGATCTTGGCAGAAAGAGTCGTGAAGCTGAAGTGCACCATTTGCGGCGAGGTGCTGGGTGCCAAAAATCCGTCTGCAACAGCTCCCAACCATCTTAAGAAGCACAACAAGGCAGCAGACAAGGCGCAGGAGGGCAGTGAGGCGGAGGGCGCCATACCTGCAGTGCCGTCCGGCGCGAAAAGGTCTCGCTCATATGACGGCACGCCCACTCCGTCCATGCGGCTTTTCATGCCATCTGCCAACCAGATATACGTCTTCCTGAAGAATCTGGCCTTATTCTTCTACACCACCAACATCGCCCTTCACCTTATCGAGAACCCCTACCTTGTTCAGGCCTGCACTGCCCTGGGGGTCACACTGCCCGGCCGCTGGAAACTAGTAACCACTATGCTTGACGAGGCGCACGCGGAAACAGTCTCTGAGGTTGCAGACAATTAGGACTGGACTCTTGGACTCTTGGTTCAGGTACCAAAGGTGTTGGGAAGGCGTACGCAGAGACAGTTTAAGACAGTCTAAGACAGTTTAAAGGCGAAATTAGTGACCCAGAGGTCACTAAGACCGGGGGTTTGGCTGAGAAGTCCTGCTTACGGGTGTCGTAGCCCCGTAAAAACCGTTAAAAACACCTGGGTTAGCATCTGCCGTAACCATGGTGAAACTCCGAAGTGAAAAGTCCCCCTCCCTGAGAAGTTACCCCAGGTCTTCTAATATTATTTCTAACGTTCTAATTAGAAATAATATTATAATTAGTAGAGAACGCCTGAAATTCTAATAATTTCAACAACCCTACGCATTGCATGACGTAGGTAGTAGATTCTGCCTACTAGAATCATCAGGCCTACTCCTCATCACGTTGCCTGAACATCCGTAGAGACAGCGGGATCAGAAATCGCCAGCAACCCAGCGTACGAAATTTCGGTCCATCAGCTGTAACCTAGAGGTCAAATCCACATCTCAGCAGCTAGCCATAATCTTACGCTCCTGGCATTGTCAGGATTCTGCCCAAGGACGGAACCCAAGACCTTGAATCGCAGCCAGATCAGCATGTATGTGCTATTTTTTGCAGCCGTCAAAGTCGGCTGGATTCAAATGGTAAGCAGTGGGGCATATGCACTGATGGTTCTTAGTCTGTGGATCGGGCCCCCCGCAACCCTTCCAGAGGATAGACGACCAAATTGTTACGAACGGTGGAATGTATGCCGTAGGGATGTCGAACAAATACCCAGGCATGACCAAGCTCATATTTGAAACTGGAATCAGCCATGAAAGCCATGAAAGCAACTACCATGGTTTTTGCCTGGTGTACGTCCCGGCGGACAGGACATGACGCATCGAGGAGTCGAGTTTTGCATAGGGCAGCACAGACAGGTACACAGTATGGTTGTTTCACTTCTCGGCGCGGTCATTCCCTATGTAAATTATAACATTATTACAAATGATCGATTATTTCAATGTTCCGAAATAATTTGCGATGTCTAAAATTTTTTGCGAGGTGTGGGGATCGAACCCACGCAGTCTTGCGACCATGAGATCTTAAGGCTCACCCCTTCGACCACTCGGGCAACCTCGCAAAGGACTTCCAATAAGGACATGCAATTTTTAGGAATTACGTTATACAGATCTACATGTACGCGACATATGGGGAGTCATCGACCAGCCGAAACTTCGGCTTCCAATTTGGGTTGTGTGTATGTATGCCTTGCTCGGCCGTATCGGCCGTATTGCGGCTCCTGCTGAGCGGTATACCCGCGTTCACTAACACTAACACAACAAAAAACAAAGAGTAGCCCGCCTCCAGCTAGTTCTGCTTTCCACTGGCCACACTCATTTACCGCGGCCGGCCTCTGCTGACACGATCTGCCAAACAGAGCAGCGGCTATAGGCAGTCTAATTTGTCTGGCTATGGCTTGGGTTCCCGTGGCTAGACCGGAAGGCTCTGCTACTAGCCGTAGAGCACCGGATGCTGCACCCCGGCCCCCCATCCTATTCATCCTACGCGTGATGTGGGGGGATAACCAAACAAGGTGCAAACCCAGCGAACTAGTTACTGTATCCATATGTGCTCTTGTCAAATGGTTAATATCACCTCATGAAACGTCGTGAATTAGCCGACGAATAGCGACAGGATTACATAGCGACAGTATTACATTACGATGGCCGGATGGAATACTGCATGATTGGAGAATACATACCGGCGGCCTATGGCTGGTGCATATTCAAAAGGTATGCCGACATATCTAAATCCTACGCCTCCCACCTCCTCCTATAGTGGTATGTTTTAGACCACAAAACTTCATGTATAATATGTGCCTGTTGGAAGTTGCTCGATTTTGCTGTTCGGCATGTGAGGACTTGGTACCGCGACATCGCGCAAACTGTTCCGTGGTGTACCTTCAGCATCATTTATATCATAATTATGTTAAGCATTTCGCATTGCGAGGAGGTTCGCTACCTAGCTAATAGGAGCTGTTTTGCTCTGTCCAGCTTCTATTTTCGTAATGTACAATGTGAACAAGTGTGAAACTAATCTGACTCGCTTGGGCGCTATGCACCAAAGCGAATATTTATAGCATTGCTTTGCATACATCAGGCACAAGGATAATAAAAGATAATAAACTTTCCACGATGTTGGCGTGTCTTACTAGGGGCAATACGTCGGTACTGCGCGTGCATGGTAACAGCTCACCGTCTTTGTGACAAAGACAATGGCGGCAACGGCCACGCTGCGTCATGCCAGTCTAGCTTTTGCGAGTGTTGTAAGGCTATTGGGATGTTAGACTGCATGGCTCTGTACCGACGCTTACAGACCAGCCTTTTTGAGTGTCCGATGTGTAAGTATGCGTACGAGAGGAAGGAGCTTCTTAAGCTGCAACGCATTAAAAATAAAAATGTACGGTTGGGCGTCTTTTCGTGAATGTACAAAAGGCATCTGTGAGCGCTAGTGCCATGCCGAATGGATCTTGTTACCTCAATAATAAGCTCTGCACTTGAGCAAGCATAGTTTATTCCTTCAACATTTCAAGATAGTCCTTTATAGGATGATGTGCTGACAAATGTACCTCGTGTACTGCTCAGTTCGTCTTCCAAAATTTGGATCCATTGCAAGCTGGGATAAGAAGTGCCGTACCTACCAATCAACGAACATGTCCTTCTGACTTATAAAGGATTATCACATTCATTTTGTCACATCCAAGATAGCCAGAAGAAGCGTAGACAATCTTCTCCTGCAGCCATGGCGAGGCGCGCTTTAAGGCCCCGCCTTGCACGTCTGCTTCTGTGCCTTGCGATGTCATGGTAGGTTTTTTTGTAACCATTGATTTGGTGTATCAATACGTTGGGCTGCCTGATTTGTGGTGCTCTTGACCTTGGCTTAGAGACAGCCATTGACTGAGTCAGTAAATCGGATCGAACCCTGGCAAAACGCAGGATGACAACAGCAGTTGCTGATACTTTACTGATTTATTTATAGCATTGCTTTGCATACATCAGGCACAAGGATAATAAAAGATAATAAACTTTCCACGATGTTGGCGTGTCTTACTAGGGGCAATACGTCGGTACTGCGCGTGCATGGTAACAGCTCACCGTCTTTGTGACAAAGACAATGGCGGCAACGGCCACGCTGCGTCATGCCAGTCTAGCTTTTGCGAGTGTTGTAAGGCTATTGGGATGTTAGACTGCATGGCTCTGTACCGACGCTTACAGACCAGCCTTTTTGAGTGTCCGATGTGTAAGTATGCGTACGAGAGGAAGGAGCTTCTTAAGCTGCAACGCATTAAAAATAAAAATGTACGGTTGGGCGTCTTTTCGTGAATGTACAAAAGGCATCTGTGAGCGCTAGTGCCATGCCGAATGGATCTTGTTACCTCAATAATAAGCTCTGCACTTGAGCAAGCATAGTTTATTCCTTCAACATTTCAAGATAGTCCTTTATAGGATGATGTGCTGACAAATGTACCTCGTGTACTGCTCAGTTCGTCTGCGGGCTATGCGAAGCTTGAGCCGGGTTAGCTAAGGCGTAGGGCCTTACGGCCGTTTTAAGTGGTACGACTTGAGGCCGGCGATCCGTGTCCTCAGGATCGTCTTTTGCATAAATAGCGCGTGTTGCAGGTTTTCTGTATCTTGTTTTTGTTGTTCAGCACGCGCTGAACAACGAGGCAGGTCCCGCGCCTTCGGCGCGCTTTCTGTTTTTTCCGCTGTGCTTTCAGCTCTTCAGCAAGACCCATCGGGTAGAGTGCCCTGATTGAAGGAGCACCATTATCGCTCCGTCGTCATCGTCTTGAAGATCATGGCAACCGTAGCAGTATCCGTCCAAGCCGTTTTAGCGGTTTTTGTCGTTTTCTGCGGCGTTGCTGGCGCCATGATGCCGGGCCAATATGGTTCCCAGCCCCCTTCCCCATATATGCAAGGTCTGCTGGGTGGCGGCGCTACGCCGCTAGGAGGCGGAATGGCGCCCAGCGCGGTACCGAGAGCGGCAACTATGTCTGGTGCGGCGGTTGCTGGGCCGGACATCGCTGCAATGTTACTCCAGATGCAACAAGACCTGGCCGGGGTCCGCGCGCGCCTAAATAGTCAAGGTGCGACCTCGGGTCCGGAATACGATTTGCGCGCGCTGACGGAGGATTTTGCGTCGCCTCAAGTGCAGCGCTCTCCAGCCGGGTCGCGGTTTCCGTTTCCCGACTATGTTCTGCACAATTTGCCGGGAACCATGACGGTGGATAATCTGGTTTTGCATAATTTTCGGGCAATTCCTGAGTGGCAGGAGTTAGAGCACTCGCAGAGGGGTCATCCTGATCGTGCGGGCTCGTTAGTTTAGAATTTAGCATTCTGAATACTTTGCTTGGCTTCTTGGAGATGGTTGCGGTTCCGGTTTGACTATGATTCGCCGCTTTTCGGATATTCAAATTTACCTCAAGAGTGGGTTGTCGCCCTGACCTGCGCCTCTGATACCTTGCTGTATGATGTGGCTTGGATGCATAACCTTATTTCGGCCCGTATCAATTGTTTGGTGGAATTTAGCCGTAGGGNCCGTGATGGCCTCGTTGCCCTGCACCAGCGTTACTTTGCGCCTTCGGAGCGGCCGCTGGTGGATGCTGTTACCCGTGAGTTTGACGAGGAGTATGCTAAGCAGCGGGCAAAAGTGACTCTTAAGGTCCTGGCAGAAAGGGAGGCCCGTAGGCATCAGGGCAATGGCGGTCTGTTTCAGGCCCCAGGTCGGGGCCAGGGTGGTGGCCTGCGCCGGGGTCGTGGAGGTGGCCGGGGCGGTTTTCCGCCTGCTCGTGCTGTTGCGGCAGCTGGTAGCGCCCAACCCCCGGTGGGTTCGGGCCAGGCCCACTAAAACATGTCGTCGCATTCCGCTGCACCCCTGCATGCACGCGTCACCTCGCGGTTGGCTGCTTGGAAAGCCATTGGTGCCGATGCCCGCACGTTGCACGTGTTGAAGCATGGTGTTCCGGTTGAGTTCCTGGGAGATCGTCCGCCGCCTGCGTTTGATCTGCCCAGTTTCCCGGTCACTATTGAGCAGAGCCGTTGGTGGTTGGAGAAGGAGGAGCCGCGGTTGATTGCCCTTGGTGCCATTTCCCGCGTGGAGGCTTCTGCAGCAGCGAATCATGTGGTGAACGCGTTCTGTGTGCCTAAGCCAGGCAGTGGGTCGTGGCGTGTTGTTGTTAATCTGAAGCGCATGAATATCGCGCAGAAGGCGTATAAGTGTCGCTATGAGTCGCTCCGTACGCTGCGGCGGATGGGGATTCAGAACTCGTGGATGGTCAAGGTTGATCTAGCTGATGCTTTCTATCATATTCCCATTCGTGCAGCTGATCGTCGCTTCTTCGTGTTTCGTTTCTGTGGGGTTTTGTATCAGATGATGCGCTGCCCATGGGCTGGCTCAATAGCCCTTA